TGGCGGCAGTTCAAAGAGGCGATTGTTCGGATGGCTGTGATTCTAAAGGCCCTGGTCCCTCGCCGTCTGGTGTAAATGTCTTTAAGGCTGGGGAGTTTCCTTCTCTGATATTGTCCACTAGTTCAGTGGTTCCCAACCTGGGGGTCGCCAAAGCTTCACAGGGGTCACGAGGCCTTCTTGATTTAAAGGGGTGTAAGAAAACTTAAAATATATACACAGTAGGCCTCTTAGCATATTCTTCATTTCTTCATTTAAGTTATAGTTATAGAACAATGGCCAAGTGTCAGGGAGAAGAAACACTGAATTTGTCAAAAAAGAAGCAGAGTAAGACTGTATGATTGGTATATATGATAATTATATTTAAAAGAATATATAATACAGACAGATTTGTATAAAAAATTCACTAAACAGGAAATAATCTGCTCAAAATTCATCCAAATCTCTGGTTTTACAGAAACTTCCTGCAGTTACTGAGTTCACTGTTTGTGTTTTGTGTTCACAAAATCCCTTAAAGAAAAAGGTTGAGAACCACTGCATTGTTAATATATTAATACCTTGTTTTTTAAAGGGTTACAGTGTCGATTTATGTGATTGATCATAGGTGTTTTTCTTGTTTTGTAGATATGAGATTTTGGCTGCCAACGCGATCCCGAAGGGCTTCATGGACGGGAAGCAGGCCTGCTGTCTAATGGTGAGCTTTACTATAAAACTGGAGTTTAAAGAAGCAGATGTTTTACTATTTTAACCCTCTGCTGTTCTCTGTGTGTCCTCCAGGTAAAGCACCTGGATCTGGATACCAACCTGTATCGTATTGGTCAGAGTAAGATGTTCTTCAGGACAGGAGTTTTGGCTCAGCTGGAGGAAGAGAGAGACCTCAAACTGACCGTCGTCATCATCGCCTTCCAGGCACAAGCAAGAGGCTTCCTGGCCCGCAAGTAAGGACCCTGAACACGTATCTAAAGACTTGTGGCGCTGTTTCCTGTGAATATTGATCAGAAGATGAGTTTTTCTGATATTTTTAGACTTAATTGGCTTCTTTTTTTGACCAATTCAGTATTTTCTTTTACTACACCTTGTGTTCAGGTCATCAAAGTTTAGATATAATAAACTTTAATGCGATAAGTTATTTTAATTAATTTTAAGTAATTTTTAAGTTATACAAAATCAATTTTGTGAGTTTAAAAAAACTTTTTCTCATAATACCAATAAGAATTGATAAGAAAAACTGACACACCTCAAAATCAAGAAGGCCTTGCCACCTCCCATGAAGCTTTGGCGACCCCTAGTGAGGGTCCCGACCCCCAGGTTGGGAACCACTGATTGAATCTTTCTTTGTGTGTGTTTTTAGGGCTTTCAGTAAACGTCAACAGCAGCTGACCGCCATGAAGGTCATCCAGAGGAACTGCGCCTGTTACCTCAAACTCAAGAACTGGCAGTGGTGGAGGCTCTTCACCAAGGTTACACACACACACACACACACACACGTTCACGTTCATTGATTGGTTTTTATTGATCATACGTTGAAAATAAATGATGACCATGAAACACTTTGCTTAACTTAACGACAAAATAGATTTTACGGAGATAAACTCTTTTAATTAGGCCTTTTCTTCTGTCAGACTGAGAATTGTGGATGTGTCTGTTTGTTGTTCAGGTGAAGCCGCTGCTGCAGGTCACCAGACAAGAAGAAGAAATGGGTCAGAAAGACGAGGAGCTAAAGGCAGCGAAAGAGGTGGCGGCCAAGACCGAGGCTGAACTGAAGGACATCTCCCAGAAACACACTCAGGTGAGACACAATCAGGTCTTTTATTTAGTTTATTTAATCTTTAAATGTTTATTTCCAGCAGCGACAGAAGTGTCTGTCTTCGTCTTCTGCAGCTGATGGAGGAGCGAGCGCAGCTGGAAGTTAAGCTTCATGCAGAGACGGAGCTGTACGTCGAGTCCGAGGAGATGAGGGTGCGACTGGAGGCCAAGAAGCAGGAGCTGGAGGAGGTGCTGCACGAGATGGAGGCACGTCTGGAGGAGGAGGAGGAACGCAGCCTTTCCTTGCAGCACGAGAGGAAGGACATGGAGCAGCAGCTACAGGTGGACACTCTTCATCATCATTATTATTATTATTATTGTATCTTATTATTAGGGCTCGACTTAACAATTATTTTCATTATTGATTCATATCTCGATTATTTTTAGGTAAGAAAATAATAAGAAGATTGTGTTTTGAAACATCTTGTAATTTGGTATTTTTGTCAAAACTTAGTAACTAAATAGTAAAAATATTAATAACCTTTATCTGTGGAGCAACTTTCATGCACAAAATGTTTAAAGAAAAACAGTATCAAAATATTTATCACCGTAACAACGTCCACATTGTCATCTTAATGCGCAATAGTAATAATTATATAGAAATAACATAAATAACAGTTTTGTGACTCTGAATCTTATATGGAAGCCCGAGAGAAAAAAAAGGTTAAATCTGTTGTCAACAGGTGAAAATATAAATACAGTCAATTAAATACATTTCTAGCCAAAAGAAAGACATGACAGTAATGTAATATTACTTAAGACTGAACAATAATCAAAATATTATTAAAACACAATAAAAGTGCAATATGCAGAATTTGCTGGTGTTTTTTGGACTTTTAGACTTTTCAGCTGTGTGTTATGTTTTTAACCTCACATGATGCTTTTCCTGCAGCTTATGGAGGCTCACATCGCAGAGGAAGAGGACGCTCGGCAGAAGCTGCAGCTGGAGAAAGTGGCTGTGGAGGGAAAAGTCAAGAAGCTGGAGGAGGACGTTCTGCTAATGGAGGACCAGAATAACAAACTGCAGAAGGTATAAAGAGGCTGGTTTGGATTTGTGGCGTGGTCAGTGTTTAATACTTGCTGTTCTCACCTGTTCTCGTGTCTGCAGGAGCGAAAGCTTCTGGAGGAGAGGCTCGCTGATATGAGCTCTAATCTGGCCGAGGAGGAGGAGAAGTCCAAGAATTTGACCAAACTCAAGACCAAACACGAGTCCATGATCTCCGATCTGGAGGGTCAGTCAGCACAACAAAAACACTCACATCTTCATCGTTCCTCGTTCAGTTGCACTCACTTCTGTTTAGATATATCATCTATCCACTAGGGGTCGCCAAAGCTTCATGGGGGGGTTGTGGGGACTCCTTGATTTTAAGGGGTGTAAGAAAACGTTTCAACGTCATTTAAACTGAATATAATCCCCTCCAGACATTTATTCAGACATATATAGACACATACAAATAATACAAATAATATGCTTGGAACAATAATGTGTGTGATAAGTATAATTTCCACATTAAAATCCCTAAAAAGTAATCTAATCCTTCTTAAACTCTGCACAAACATCTTTCTGCAGAGTGAAGCTAAAACATCCAACTGCAGGTAGAAAACTTTAATAACTTATTTTCCCATAAAACATCGCTGTGTGTATGTGTGTGTGTGTGTGTGCAGTGCGCATGAAGAAGGAGGAGAAGGGTCGTCTGGACATGGAGAAGGCCAAGAGGAAGGTGGAGGCGGAGCTGGCAGACCTCCAGGAGCAGCACGCCGACCTTCAGGCCCAACTAGCCGAGCTCCGTGCCCTGCTAGCCGCAAAGGAGGAGGAGCTCCAGGCCACACAGTCCCGGTAAGAGCAACTTATCATAGTGATGATTTAGCCTAAGTGGTAGTGTTTCACCTTGTTTAACTGATTTCAAGGGGGATTCCAACCTGGTGATATTAAGAATAACTAAAATAACTGTAATGCTGTTTGTTTATGTAGGTAACATATAAGCATCAGTATTAAATTGAGATTCTTTAAATAGATTGAGAGTGTTAAAATAGTCTGATGTAAAGATGTTAGAAACTATTTAAGTGTGTCCGTGTCCACAGCTTGGATGAGGAGAGCAACCAGCGGGGGGCGGCGGTGAAGCGGGTTCGGGAGTTGGAGGCCATGCTTTCAGAGCTACAGGAGGACCTGGAGGCAGAGAGGACGGCTAGGGGGAAGGTGGAGGCGGCACGACGGGATCTCGGAGATGAGCTGAATGCTCTGCGCACCGAGCTGGAGGACAGCCTGGATACCACCGCCGCCCAGCAGGAGCTACGGTCTGTACGACCCATATACGACCTCTGATTGATCCACACATCCTAATTAGAGTTCAATCGTGTTAGCCTCAGCAGTTTGAGGAACAGAAAGATTTGTGTATAATACCTTTAAGAAGTGTGCTAAACTTTTCTACAACTAAGCAAAAAGTAATTCGCAAAGTCTCTCTGTGATTCTTCAGTGCTATTAAATTATTAAAATAAAGGCTTACCTTCAGCTTTTAGCACAATATGGGTGTTGAAAGAAAGAAGATGTTTGTACACAGAGGCTCTAAATATTCAGAATACATCATTTGTGTTTGAGAGGCACGTTTTTACCAATAATCTAACTGGTCCAGCACCTTTTCCCAAAAGCAGATTATCTGTGGGCACGCCAATCTTTGCGCTTTAAATCGTGGTGACAGGTAAAATGTTTAATCCTTGAATTATAACAATTTATACTAAAATCAGACTGTAAATGGCACAAAGTTCTTCCTGAGATGGTGTAAAGTAAATAACAGTATCATCTGCATAAAAGAGGACATTTGTAAGCCAGACACAAGCCGGTAGCCCCAACTTTAAGGCTGTGTTCCTGTTGGATGTTTTGTACTGATGTTGTGTATATATTTGTGACTGGCAGGGCAAAGCGTGAGCAGGAGGTGGCCCTACTAAAGAAAGCCATGGAGGAAGAGGGGCGCAGCCACGATGCCCAAATCCAGGACCTGAGACAGAAACACGGCCAGGCTGTGGAGGAGCTCTCTGAGCAGCTGGAGCAGGCCAAGAGGGTAGAGTTCACTTGAGATTTTAGATTTGATGGTGCACTCCCAAATCGTTAAGCTGTTCATTTAACACCACGTTTCTCCGTCCAGGTGAGAGCTGGTCTGGAGAAAGCCAAGCAGGCTCTGGAGAAACGGGGAGTGCGTCAGACTCCATGCGCTGACCTGCGATCGTCTCCGCAGTTGCCAAACAGACGTGGAGCGCACAAGGAAGAAGAGAGGTGGAGGGTGCAGCTAAGCGACCTTGCAGCTCGCGCTGGTTCAATCGGACGGCTGGGGGACGAGCGGCAGGAGGACTGAGCGTCGGGAGGCGATCTCTAGGAGATGAGCTGTGAGTCATGTACTGGCGCTAACAGAAATAGTGTCTTGTATCCTAACCGGCTCATACGAGTATGAGGTAGTTGTATATCATACCTGATATTTATATATATATATATATATATATATATATATATAAATATATCAAGGTAAATATGGCTAATTTTAACTAAAAGTTAAACTGTACCCACCTGAGAACTAACAAATATATCAACAGAAAATTAACTGATAATGAATACAGTTTCAACCAATATTCATATTTGATAAATTGAATATGTTGTCAAGTTAATCCTGATTTAATTACTAAATATTTGGGAGTCCAGTTTACATTTTTGTTCTATCTCTTGCCATCTTTTTCTTTCTCGTGGTCTCTTCCAGGTGGAGCTGGATAGCGCGACGAGTCTGTTGAATGAGGCGGAGGGAAAGAACATTAAGCTGAGTAAAGATGTCTCCACGCTGACCTCTCAGCTCCAGGACGCTCAAGTGAGGAATGGTTTATAAAGCTCTTGTTATGTGAACATAAAACATAAATAAAATAAAATAATAAAATAAACAAATTACCAAAGTTGTTATGATGTAACTTCTGGAAACCATGAATGCCTATACAGCATCTGGGGCCAATTAATCAAGCAGATGTTGAGATATTTCACTGAATAAGGGAAACTTTTGACCTGCTGTTGGTGCTGCATAATAATACACACAGCAAGTCATTAGAATGTATTGTCAAATATCTAGCGTACAAGGCATCTAATAGTTAGAGGGTTCTGACCAATATTCACATAATCCTAACACCTTTCTCCTCCAGGAGCTGCTGTCAGAGGAGACCCGTCAGAAGCTGAATCTGTCCGGACGTCTGCGTCAGATGGAGGAGGACAGGAACAACCTGATGGAGCAGCTGGAGGAGGAGACTGAGGCCAAACGGGGCGTGGAGAGGCAGGTCTCCAGCCTCAACATGCAGGTCAGTAACTTCAGAGGAATAGTGAACAAACCTTAAAACAACCTTCTCTAACCCTTTCTCCGTTTTCCCCCGTCTCTCAGCTGTCCGACTACAAGAAGAAGCTGGACGAGATGTCAGGGACGGTGGAGCTGCTGGAGGAGGGGAAGAAGCGTCTGCAGCGCGACCTGGAGGCAGCCAATGGCGATTACGAGGAGAAGGCCTCGGCCTACGACAAGCTGGAGAAGAGCCGGATCCGGCTGCAGCAGGAGCTGGAGGACGTCCTAATGGATCTGGACAGCCAGCGGCAGCTCGTCTCCAACCTGGAGAAGAAGCAGAAGAAGTTTGATCAGGTCTGAATGTAACTGAATGCTGAAGCCTCATTTTAACTTTAGAAGCAGATTTGGACAGAAGGACTAGTTCCTTCCACAGAAAGCAAACGTTTGTTCTCCACAGACATTAATAATCTCTGTGGAGAGCAAATTAACTCCACTTTTATGTTTTTTTAAGCTAACATTAGGCTATAAAAGAACAAGAACACCATGGTTGCATGACTTCAAACTTCCATCTTAAGAGTGTAAAGTTGTACAAGTTGTAAAGTTTGAGTTAGAATAGTTTGCAGGAATATAAACACAACAAGGTTGTAGAGGCTCAGTGTTTGGCGTGTTCAAGCTTCTCAAATGTGATTATTTACTGCTTTCCGTTTTTGTTTTAAGACAGACTTATCCTTTAATCCTGAGGTTGAAGATGATATTCCAGACTCCAAAAAAACATTTTACATCCACATTGAATCCCCTGTGATCTCCTGTGTCCTCAGATGCTGGCAGAGGAGCGCGCTGTGTCCTGTAAGTTTGCAGAAGAGCGGGATCGAGCAGAGGCTGAGGCGAGGGAGAAGGAGACGAAGGTGTTAGCTCTGGCCAGAGCACTGGATGAGAACCAGGACGCTCTAGAGGAGGCGGAGAAGACCATGAAGTCCCTCCGAGCAGAGATGGAGGACCTCATCAGCTCCAAGGACGACGTGGGAAAGAGCGTAAGAGCAAACAAATAATCTTCTTTTATTCCAGAAGATGAGATAATTTCCGGATTCTCACCTTCTGTCCGCCCTCCGTCAGGTCCATGACCTGGACAAGGCCAAGCGTGGTCTGGAGGCCATCGTTGAGGAGATGAGGACACAGATGGAGGAGATAGAGGATGAGCTGCAGGTCGCTGAGGACGCTAAGCTGCGTCTGGAGGTCAACACTCAGGCCCTGAGAGCTCAGCACGAGAGAGAGCTGCACGCACGCGACGAGATGGGCGAGGAGAAGAGGAAGCAGCTCCTCAAACAGGTGGAGTACAACCAAGTGTTAACGGCGTCCATCCTGGTCTTACATCAGCCTTTTAATCTAATGTGCAGATATTGTGCATGAAGTACCAGGAGGACGGATTCATCACCTCAATCGGATCAGTTAAAATGCATTTATAAATCTAATTTGAACATGGTAGATTTCACTCTACTGAATCTGGGGGAAAAAATATTTTTCTAAGTGAAGTTTTGAATGAGTTGTAACTGTAAAAGTTTCATATCCCAGTTCGATCTTTAAACATCTGAATGGGATCAAAACTTTATCCATTTAAATACATCAAATAAAGCAAGCGTTCCTCCCGGCTGGCTCTCCCTCAGGTGCGTGAGCTGGAGGCAGAGGTTGAGGAGGAGAAGAAGCAGCGAGGTCAAGCATCAGGCAGCAAGAAGAAGCTGGAGGGGGAGCTGAAGGACATGGAGGACCAGCTGGAGGCCACCAGTAGGGGGCGAGATGAAGCAGTCAAGCAGCTCCGCAAGATCCAGGTCAGCACAAACACAACATCTTTCAGCGGGTAAGACTTCAACAAAGTGCTTCCTGTAATTCCCGCTCTGCTCTCCTCAGGGCCAGGTGAAGGAGCTCCAGAGGGATCTGGAGGACTCGCGTGCAGCCCAGAAGGAGGTCCTCGCCTCAGCCCGGGAGTCCGAACGCAGATCCAAAGCCATGGAGGCCGACATCGTCCAGCTGCAAGAGGTGAGGCCTTCGAACACGCCAGCTTCAAAGTAACAGCTCATAAAGCTCACCAACATATGTAACTTACAATGTATCACTTCATTTCTTTTATCTTTTCTTTTTTACCTTCTTTATTCCTCTGTCTGTCTGCCTGCAGATGTTGGCAGCAGCCGAGAGAGCTCGTAAGCAGGCAGAGACAGAAAGAGACGAGCTCTCTGAAGAGCTGACCAGTAACTCCTCCGGAAAGTGAGAATCTTGTGTTATTAACATATTATTAATAAACCATTGTTAATAAATTGTAACCAATTTGTATTCTTTTGAGTGCTAAAGCCTTTAAAAATCAGTCATTCGTTACTCCCCTTTGTCCAGATCTCTGCTGTCTGATGAAAAACGCCGTCTGGACGCGAAGATCAGCCAGCTGGAGGAGGAGCTGGAGGAGGAGCAGGCCAACGTGGAGAGCCTCAACGACCGGCTGAGGAAGAGCCAGCAGCTGGTAGGTCCAGGGTGAAATATCGTAGGTGTAAAATATAGTTCCTTTCTCTTATTGTTATCTTGTGAGATAGAAAGTTCTAATTACGGGATTAAAAGTCTAAACTTTGAGATAAAAATTGAAATTATTAGATTAAAAGTCATAATTATCATTTGTGATACAAAAACTATTAATCGAGTCATAATTATAAAAAAAAAAATTACTCCGATATTTTTGGTATTTCTGATTCAGGATGTTTAATGATGCTAACAGGAAGTATATTATAACTTATTGTGATCTGGTCCTGGTCCGGTGCAGGTGGATCAGCTGGGTGCGGAGCTGACTGCAGAGAGATCTTCCTCTCAGACCCGGGAGGGATCACGTCAGCAGCTGGAGAGACAGAACCGAGAGCTGAAGGCCAAACTGCAGGAGATTGAGGGCCAGGGTCGCTCCAAACTCAAATCCTCCATCACTGCCCTCGAGGTCAAACTGAGAGAGGTGGAAGAGCAGCTGGAGATTGAGAGCAGGTAAACAGGAAGTTAAATCCCAACTAACATTTAACCAGTAAACCTTCAAAGATTAAATGTTCCGACTGTGTTCTGCAGAGAGCGTCAGGCCAACGCCAAGAACCTGCGTCAGAAAGAGAAGAAGCTGAAGGATTTAAGCATCCAGATGGAGGATGAGAGGAAGCAGGCGCAGCAGTACAAAGACCAGGTAACTCCGATGAGGATGGTAGCTTCATTTATCACTCTCTCAGTCGTTTTTTCACCTGGACTTTAAACGCCTCTCTGCTCTGTGCAGGCAGAGAAGGGTAACGTGCGGGTGAAGCAGCTGAAGCATCAGCTGGAGGAAGCGGAGGAGGAGTCTCAGCGTGTGGCGGCGGCTCGCAGGAAGCTGCAGAGGGAGCTGGAGGAGGCGAGCGAGACCAACGACACTCTCAACAGAGAGGTGTCTTCACTCAGGAGCAAACTGAGGTACTGAAAGGCCCCGCTGGGGTGACGGATGGAGCTGGAAATGTTAAGCTGATTAATCAGTGAGATGACAGAAAATAAATCTTTTTCTTTTTAATCTTAGCCCATTTATAACGTAAATTGTTAGAAATTTTAATGAATTACTAAAATAAAAGCGGTTGCACCTTTATTAAGTTGACAATACAGAACAAACATAGAAACATGTCGCCTAGTTTTAGATCGTTAAACATATAGGAAGACGTTATACAAATTAAACCCCCTCCCAGCATAAGAACCATGCTTGCATAGTCAAAAAACAGGCATATGAGAGGAAAGGGAAAAGAAAAGAAAAACAAATGAAAAGAGAAACAAACAAACACATACAGCGTTTGGAACAAAATGCTCTGATTCCTCCAATGAAGCAAAAGAGAAACAAAAACAACAATATTTCAGCAGGTAAAATCTTCAGGGACACCAAAATTAGAGGTAATAGGGCTACGAATCAGCGGTCTATTCAGGGCGTATCATAGAACGAGGACCAGAATGAGCTCAACCTTGGACAGGAGAAAAATTTGAAGAAAGATTTGAATTCCACTAAAAGCTCTCTACACCAAGCTCCGTTTAAGAAATATCACATTTTAAACAATTCCGTAAAGTGACTGTAAGCAAGCATGTAACTCTACCAGACAGCGAGCCCTAAAGGCCGTCATATGGTCCATCAGTCTTCATTCGGCATCATATCATGCATCCCCAGTAAAGATTAACTGTATTCTGTAGCAAACTAATTATTTATGTAGTAATTGTGGTGCAACCAATTTTAGTAATTTTTCTAGTGTCAACTCAGGAGTGAACTGACACACAGCCACTGCTGCTATGTAGTGTCTGAGAAAAGACCTGTGAAGATCATTTGTGATTTTACATATCCTCTTCCTCCTTTCATGTCCTGTTTCACGCCTGTCCTCAGACACTACTGATCTGTCTTCAAAGCTACCTGGGAATATTCTTCTTCTTCCTTAAACGCCTTTTTTTACTTTCCTCATCCTCAAGATTTCAGGGCTTCAAGCTTCAACTTTAAAAAAAAAAAAAAATCTCTCTTTGCAACAAGCTGCTCTCTGTTCTTCCTCTGTCCTCTGACCCTCCTCTTCCTCCTCTGTCTCTTCCTCCTGATGTGTCGGGTGTTCCCAGGCGTGGCGGCAGCAGCGGCGGGGAGGTGTCGTTCGGCAGCCCCAGCCCTCGGAGCAGTGGCGGCAGCAGCATGAGGAGCTTGGGGCTGGGAGGGAGCATCAGCCGGAGGAGCACCATCAAAGAGAACTCAGTGGAGCTGCAGGAGGAAGAGCCTCGCTCCCCGTCTCCTCCCGCCTGCACCCCCTCTCCGGAGCCCAACTCCCCCTACGAGTAAAGTGGGGAAATGAAAGATTTTTACTCTTTTAATTTAAAATTTAAAGTTTATTTTAACGTCTCTGTTTTTTTAGTTTAAATTTGAAGTTTTAGTGTCTGTTGTATGGAAATATTGGCTGCTTCAATACAGTTTTCCTTAAAGATTGAATATGACATTAACTGTTACTAGATTTCACACTATAGCACCAGAATCTCAAACTGGCCCACCAGACTCCATTGACAAAACCAGTAATTTTACCTAGAAGATAATTGACTTAACTTCAAACTGGAGCGAAACAGAATAAAATTAATTAAACCGTCTCTGTTAGTGTTTCCAACAATCACCATTTGGTGGAAATAAATCCTTAATCCGACGTAGATGATAAAAAACAGCAGTTTTTTCAGTCGGAGCGCAGACCGGCTATGGAAACAAACCACAGAGAGAGGTGCTGAATGGTTTACAGTGACATTCAGGCAGAGGGGAGTTGAGAGCACACCAATTGTGTACTCTGGCTGTCTTCTGTATATAGAGAATACGCTGTTTATTAATGTTATAAATCTCATATTTAACCTTTAAGAAAAATTCATCACAACAAACTTTTCTCTGCTCCGTAATTTCCTCTTTCTAGCTCTGTTTAGTAAAGTACTGCTCACCTTTGCTTTTATCTCCCCTTGTCAGAAATATAGACGTACATTAATTTAAAAATATATATAAAACAAATCACAGTTCAGGAGGCCGACTTGTTGTTTGTTGAACTCAAAATCCCCTGGACAGAAGAATGAAATATATTTATTTAACCTCAAAATCACATGCAACAAAATTTAAACTCAGTGATTCCAAATTCTTTCAGCTTCATTTGGGGGAAATAAATCTAATTATTTAAGAACTCCTACAAAATAAAAGCATCATCCAGAATCTGATTTGAAGGTTTTTTGTGAAGTGAAGCCAAGAAAAAGAAGTGATGTTTGTGGATTAATACAACATATCGTTTATGTGGATTTACTATATTCAGATTTATTTATTTTCCAGGTAGTTTAATGAATTCCCATAGATATAAAGAAAGTTAAACTCCTCTCAGTTTGTGCCGTTGGAGTCACAGAACGAAAGTTTATTTAAAGAAATTTAAAGCCGCTCTGAAGATATTTCCCACAATCCTCAAACTGCGTCTGTTGCACGATGATACAGATTGTTAACGTTTCTCAAGTAGCGACGTTTAATCCAGCTGGAGTTTATATCTGTCCTTTTAGTAAAACACACAGTCTGCATGGAGCGCTGATCAGCCTGATCAGTAATCAATTGAGCTCATTATATAAGCCACTAAATCGCAACCATATACCGTCAGACAAACTTTATCAGCCCCTTTATCAGTTAAGCTAGGTGTTTTCTGTCAGTGGAGACTGAAACGTTGACATAGATGGGATGCCAGGTATCAGCAGTTTGAATCCAACTAAAAGGGCTCCCTTCACCAAGTGACTCCCTTTAAGAAAATATTCACATTTTAAAACATATTCCTAAACATGTTCGTAACAACCTAGACTTAAGAAACACGGAGTGACTGGACTAGATCAATACAGGATCAATATCATCCAATAAAGATACAGTGTATACTGATCAATATCATCCATAAAGATACAGTGTATTCTGATCAATATCATCCATATAATATTTTAAAAAATTGATTTACAAAGCAAAATCAATCAAAGAGCGTGAAAAAGGAACCTTTGTATCAGGAAAACTGAGTCACAACTTGAGAAACAGGTTAAAAATCTTAAAGAAAACAGTTATAAGAGACTTTTAAGGATTCTGGAAATATAACAAATATCCAGTAAAACAGCAGGAAGCTTCGGGGCACAAACTGAGGCAGGTTCTTTTCTTTATGCACCTCCTCTGAGGGTTTATTTTATTTAGGATATTGTATTTGAAAACTGAATGTAAAACTCTATTTGTAACCCGACTGTTGTATATTCAGTTTTGATATTAGGCGGTGTGATTGAAACCTCACAGATACACAACATTTAACTCTAATAAACGAGTACAACGGCTGCTGTGATGCAGGACTTTCTGCTTTGTGAACCAGTGAAGTGCTATTAAACTAAACCCTTACAGATGTGTCGTCTCAGTTCTTCCACTTTTATATTCTATCTATTTAGTATATATATATTATATTCAACAATAACAGAACAACTGATTATCTGTACAATGAATAATCAATAATTGCAGGACGTTTGTGTAAAATCTGAGAATTTGATGAATTTTGAGCAGATTATTTGTTGTGAATATTGATCAGATGTATGGAAGCACATTTCTGCCAATGTGATTGAAAAAAAGAATATTTTGATTTTTTTATCTAAAAATAATAAGAACCTCCCAGACTTTCTCAATATTTTGACTTATTTTTTTAAAATGACAAACTTTCTCAATATTTTGACTTATCTAAAAATACGATTGTGTCTCAATATAACAAGAAACCTCATTACTTGATGAGTTTTCTCGATATTTGAGGAACTTTGAAGTTTTAACAATCACAGACTAAATAGGCACCTTTTTTTTTTGTCAAATTCAGTTTTTGTCTCGTTGTTCTTTGAGTCTTCATCCTGTTTATATCTTATATAACATCATTCTTTTCATCATTTAATTGTTTCCAGTTGATGTTAGCTGAATGTTTAGTGCATTCAGATCACCTGTTGACTCTGTAACGATGATTGACAGCAGCTGTTCCCCCTCTCGACCAATCAGAGTGAGACGACGCTCGTTGTTAAGCTATAAGAGGCCTGACCGATACTTACCACATTTTGTGAGGTGGATTTAAAGGATTGTATCAACGATGTCTGTTAATAATCTGAACAGTAAAAACAACAATTTAATTTAGTTTTCTTCACAGAAATGAACAAAATTGTTGAAGTTTTCTTTAAAACTCAACCAGAGAAGAAATAAAATCCAAAACTTTATTTTCACATTTCAAGTTTTATTGCATTTTCAGAAACATAAGCAGCACTGAAGGTAAACAAAGAGCACAACAGGTCTGAGCACTTTGTATGTGAGCGTGTTAGCTACTCTTACAGAGTCACATAAGGCAGAAAAACACACCAAAGCTCATCGTCTGCGTTCACACTGACCTTTGACCCTTCAACTCAACAGACCCGCAACCTACAGACTCGACCTACGTTAGTGACCCTACAGTAGAAGTACAGTATATCACACTACAACCTATAACATACGGTTTTTGTTTCTTTTTAACATAAAACACGAGTAGCCTTCACTGAAGTATTCATATCTCCTCACTAACAGGAGACGTATTTCACTCCTGCAGAGACAGAAGTAGAGCTCCGCGGAGGGATTCAGGTTAAAAGAGAGCGTCTCCGCAGTCTGAAGGTGGAACAAGATTCAAAGGCTTCAAATTCATCACATAATAAATCAAAGTCCTGGACAGAAGGTTCAACGATTATTGATGATTATTTTATATTCTGAGAGCTTTTAACAAGTTTGTCCTGATGGTGGCGCTGAAGGGTTCATGAATGTGAACTGTTTCCTGTACTCTGATCCCAGTCATAATATTGAGTGGCTGCTGATAGAAGTCACATATAACCCTCCGGTTCCAGCGATGTGCTCCGGCTCTAAGCAACGCTTTCAATTCCACCAGAGGAATAAACAGCTGGTCTATTTTTAAAAGAAGCCACGACTCACCGAGCAGAGCAGCACAGAGCAGGAAGTCAGACACAGACAAACAGGACACAGAATACGGTCAATTTTCAAAATAAAATACCGCCTGCAGACTCTAAATCAATTTTCATGCAACATCAACATTGTGGCATCGGACCAGAGTCAGTCAGAGGCAGGTTCGACGTTTTAAGTGGAGAAACGCTCTCAGTGGGATTTTAAGACGCTTGTGATGTTATGAAGCAGTTCCCCGTGGAAGTTTGAGGTTATTCTGTTTTTAAAGGACAATCAGGCTCATGTTTTAGAGCCAGTTGTTTTAGAGAGTTATAGTTCAGGGTTCGGACTCACAACGGGGAACGCTAACGTCGTTCCACAGCAGCCACCCTGACTTTATCTACATAATACAGCTGCACACTTAAACTATATTAAAGTTATTAAAATCAATGGAGTAGCTTTGCAGTTTTTGGATCCACTTTGATCTGAAAAAATAATGTGTGCTAAAGCTGTGATTATTTGATATTTATATATATCTATGTTTTCACTTTGAGCTCATTTGACACAAATGGTTTTGGAGTTCCATCTCATCTCATTTGTGCTTGAGTCCCGTTTTAGTTTCAGTATTGGATCAGATTCTGATGCCAAATATCAAAGGACTCGGATCAGGACAACAAAGACAAACGACAACAGGAAAACAGAAGCAGTTATTAAATTCTAGAAGTTTCCATTACAGACATTAACGGGTTCAATACGGACAGAGAAAGCACTGATAATAAAACATTTCCTTCATTCCTTCAGGGTCTAAAAGCTACATGGAGCTCCAGAGAAGGCGATCAATACTCTCATGTGATTTATTATTACAACATTAATTAATGAAGGCAGCTTTAAGAGGCAGAACCGCTGACGGCCACAAGGTGTCGCTTCTGAAAGGCAGAGTAACATTTCTCCCACTTATAAAGCAAAAGTCACAGCTCATTAAAACCTGTTTTTAAACCGTGTTCGCTTGATTGACAGGAGTCTCAGCCAATCCCATTCATCCATTCACCAAGTTTTCTGTCTTTTGTTAAACGAATCGATCTGTAATCTGAAACTATCCGGACTCCAGTGTGTGTTCTCTCCGGGGCCATGTTGTATAAAAGCAGATCCTCGGTGGATCAGAAACCCTCTGCTGGAGATAAAAGCTTCCCTTCCAGTGTTCAGCACTCACTTTAAGATGTGTTCAGACTAAACATGAAGCACATTTTCACTTTGGTTTGACTGCTGAGGTGTTTTTAATAGACGGAGCAGAGTTCCCACAAATCCTAGAATACCTGGAATACCTGTAAATTTCACTAATTGACTGATTTTCCAGTCATTGAAACACCTAGAATTTGATTTAAAATGAACAAGAATCCTGGAAATCTGTAAAAACAAGATCAATTCTGCTTGATTTGAACTGTTTCTTCTGGGTTGAGGCCATAATGTTATGAGACCGCAGTGAAAACGTTGACCTACCCACCTGATCATGAACTCCTGGAAAATGTCCTGGACTGTTTAACTTTCTCTCTCCACTGAATGACTCCGTTTACACAGATTCAATATCTAAACTGAATCTGTGTTAACGCATCCATGAAGCTTTAAAGATCCACCTCGGGAGCCTTTAAAGACGATAAAACTTTAGTCCATTCATGTGTTTTGTGTGTTAGCTTATAGGCTGTGTTTATAGTTATTAGCTAGCTAGCTGTAATTACTGTTAATTGTTAAACAGTCCCTCCAGCATTTAGAAGGCTTTGTTTGGCCTAAAATGTCTTATTTCTAAAACAACTGCAATATTTTGATGTTTCTTTCTGTAATTCATTATAAATCTAAAACAACTTGTTCCACTGACAATGAAATAACTAGTTTGGTGACGTCTGACTCAACATTCTGCACGAGAGACTCTATGGCTGCAGAAATTCACTTCATGTTCAGTCTTAACACACTTTCTGAGCAAAAAAAGAGACAAAAAAATACTCTTGGCACACAAAACCAAAGAAGGTGAGGTGGTGACATGCAGCACAAGTCCAGTTAAGTTAGTTCAAGCTAAGTGCGAGTGCTGAAAAGAAGTGGTGCTAATAAACAGAGCTACATCCCCAAGTATCCATCCATTATTATTATCCATCGCCGCAGCTCCCAGCGCGAGCACACAGTACCGTTAATGGTCTGGGAGGTCCAGGCTGGATGGACAGGAAGGGGACGAGCAGCTTGGAGGACGATGGGGTCGAGGTGGAGCAGCTTTCACTCTCACAGCAGCAGCTTGGGTGCGGCTCCGAACTCTAACCTCTTCACCAGCCTTTAAAAAACACAACAAACACACTCAGACCTGCAGCTGTGGACCTGCAGACGGCGGCGCTGTGACGGACAGAGCGTCTCACCCCTTGTTGTAGAGGCCGTTAGTAGGATGGGTCTCTGAGGGGTTGCTCGAAGCCGCCGACGCCGACCCCGGTCCACCAGCGTGACCTCTGCGGGTCGATGTCTGCTCGTGGACGTACTCCCGACACGACGCCAGCTTGGACTCCAGATTCTAGAGCGAGGCAGGAAACAGAGAACGTAAACACTTTGTACTGTCGTCCTGTAGAGAGTCGGTGTTACGGAGAGGCAGTTCACCCCAAAAATGTTCCTTCTCATCTGTAGTTCTATTTATACATCTAGGTTTTGAGTTTCTGAGTTTAAATGTTTGTTGTCTCTCCAATATAATGGAACCAGATGGGACTTTCTACAGAACTACACCGGCCAACTTTAGCTAGCTGACCTAGCTCCACTGAAATAATAACAGCTCAGTCAAAGAGGACGCCAGAGTCTCAGAGAAACAACACAGGAAACTGAAGAGCATAAAAAAACAAGTTCCAGTTAAAAATACTAAAAGAACATCGAGTCCACTGATAGAAAAGTGATCTTTGGACCCCTGAGATCATCTGTCATTAGGTACGCCCAGGAAACGGACACGTCTGTTTAGGAACAACAAATACTGATTGTGTTGCTTCTAAAAAAAGAATCAGTTTGTGTTTGTTTGGGAGTAAAAACCAGCAGCACCCTGCAGCGTCACATGATGATAAGTCAGCAGCTGATGTATAAAACAGTGTGAATGAGTTGGTTCATGAGTTCTCTCCGGACGTTCTTACCCCGACTTTTCTCAGCAGCTCTCCAACAATGTTGAGAGCTGAGATTCTGGCTGACGTGGTGAGAGGAGTCCCTGAGAGGCTTTCACCTGCACAAACAAAACCACGGATGAGTGCGGAGACATAAAACAGGAAATCATCACATCTGAGAAGTTGAAACTACAGAATGTTTGATAATCATTAACTTAAAGCAGCGTCACTGATTTTTGGGGGTAAAATGCAAAACAATGCTATGATCTGTGAATTCATTTTCCAAACTAAAATAGAAGAATAGAGAATGTTTTAATTATGAAAATTAAATTAGGGGCCACACATAGAACTGGTGTTACATCCATAACTATTGGTTGTTTTTTCTAATGCAAATAACTAAACTATGGTACGACTTTTCTAAAATAAATAAATGTTTTGATGTTTTCTGGTGCTAAAATAAAACAGACTGCAGATTATCTAAAACCGGGAGTCTTTGTCTTTCAGTCAGGTGATTGAATGATGGAAGAGGGTACTCACTTCACCAGCCCGCTGTGTGTTGATGTCACCACTATCGTTCTGTTCTGGCAGCGGTGCTACTATGCTGCCGGTCCTAGTGTTAGGACTGTGTCCCTAACAACAGTTTTTCACCTAAAGCAGGGTCAGACTACACGAGACACCGATCTTCAGATCAGGCACACTTGCAGCCGGATCTTTGTAAGTAATCTCCCGGAGAAGCAGATGTAACCATCGCAGTGAGCGCTGTAGAAACATTAATGATCTGCAGTGAGGATGTGTTTCCTCTCTCTGATAGACCTCAGCTCTTTTACTGTGCGTACAGTAATGATACGTGTTGGAAGACGCGTTCTTTAAGTAGTCGTGTTTGGCAACAGCTCTCATTCACTTCCATATTGATCCAGATTTTTAACTCCCAAATATTAAACATGTTTGACAGTTATCGGGGCGATGATTCTGCGAGCAGGTCTGATGTTTAAGGTGTTTAAACCCCTCACAGATAACATCGGTACCGACAAGCATCCGGACCAGATTTCTCCACACATGTCGGGAATCTGACGTAAATGGAACTGAAACTCGTTGAGTTAGAGCCCGGCTTTAGGAGCTCTCTGAAGGGCTGCAATGCTTTTAAATAACTTTTATCTTCATCATGATCTTACCTTTAACTGTGAGAGAAAATTCTTAAAAAACATCAAAGACTTTCATCACAAGGAGAAACTCTTTTTGTTTGGAAGCTTTATGACTACAGCCGGAGGAACTTTATGATAAAACAAGCGGGTGTGAACATAAACGTAAAGTTAGCGTGACATTAGTGACCTCTACTGTCTGATAACTGCTGTAACACCACAGCACACGTGGACCGACCTCTGCTGACGGAGGGCGGCGGGGTGGCGAAGGACTCTGCTGAGGCCGGAGGTCTGGATGGCGTGGTGGCAGCGGCGGTGGAGGGGGCGGGCTGGTTAGAGGAGGAAGACAGGGTTTTATCCTCTGTTCTTTTGTCCGGAGGGGTGAGCGGGGGGGTGGGTAAACCAGCCAACGACGAGGAGGAGGAGGAGGAAGGCTCTTTGACTGCGCTGCTGCTGAGGGACGGCTTCCTGTCCTGAACCTGCTGTTTCTGCTGCACCGCGAGCTCCTGCCTCAGGTCTGCACAGAGTAACAGACGGGTTATAGTTTGTTTTCTGAAGACCATCTGAAGAGTCAGAACTGTTGTT